AAAGATTACTATCTGATATACCAGTTTCTATCAATTTTATAGCAGGCTCAAATTCTAGCTAAATAAATTTAAAAAAAAAAGAATTTCTAATACATCTTGTTTCAACTGATACTTTTCAAATTTGCTTGTTTTAGAAAAGATCCGAGATAAAGAAATTATTGTGGAATCCTATAAAATTCTATTCGCTTTTTCCCTTGACCATTTTTTTCGATTCAGATAGTCCTCTCGATTAAACATGCACCAATCTTATACAAAATAGTTATCAGATTAATTTTGTAATTAGAAAAAGATCGTTAAATTGATAAGAAACGATTAAAACTGTTTCTGAAGGTGTCCTCTACTAGCAGTAATACGCTTCTTCCATTTTGATAGTGATATATCTCCTGGGTGATTGGAAGGAGAAATAAACTCTGCAACGGGACAAGTTTATACTCCAAAGTAAACTTCTTTCGTTTCTTCTCAACAACAAAAGGAATAATCTCTCTGAAAATTCTCTGTAATAATACTAATCAACTATGAGTAGGTTGCGTTTAGTCATTGGGCGAGATATGAGCACTGCGTGATTGGAGATTTTCTCACATACCGTTCCTGTCCAGCGGTGTCCCATAACTGGAGTGCAACAACCCGACTGCCTACTTTTATCGTCTTTACAGTGAAATCGACACCAATCGTCGCATTGAATAACGGTTTGAAGCGATTATAGCAGAATCTAAAACAGGATCGCGATCTTTTCATGACACGAAAATTATTTAAATGGAGAATTAACCGATGCAGGAAACACGTCTTCCCAACAGCTGAATCTCCAACGAACACTACTTTGAATATTCGATCTGGAGTGGCTACTTCCTAAATAACCTACATCATTAGACGAATTAGAACTTAACAGGGTAATCAATAAAAGTAACAAACCTCAGGTTTCTTCTGAGCTTCTACCTTCTCTGCTTCATTTAATTCCTGTAAATAGAGAGAGGTTCACTTGTTGTTCACTGAAGTGTGGAAAGAATAAAGGGAACAAGGAACATCAAAGGAACATATAACTGATACTTATGTGCGTAACTATTACGGCCTGCAAATATTGGCGGAAAACTTAGAAAACGTACATCTGCGAGTGATTGTGGTGAGGTTACTCGAGGTACAGGCGAGATACCGTATATGTCCGGTTCCATCGGACGGAACTGAGGTCGCTGCAAAGAAATATTTGCTTACGAACTGAAAGAAGTGTTGTTGAGTTTGAATTACACTGCAACAAAAATGCATGAGGAAATACTTTAGAAATGCATTAGAATATGATATTCTCTGCAATGGATAACCCAGTTGTGTAATTTTGAAATCATTCATTTTACAATGAGCTAACTCAACACTTAGAGCTTTACTTACCTTGATTCGCACAGGGTGCTCGTAGATAGTTGATAAATCCTGCCTAGGTTTGCTATCTTGCCTCTCTTGCTCGGATAGCTGCTGCCTATAAAAAAATGATTCAGCTGTATACCTCGTCATCTCCGATAAGCAAAATATTTGAGAGAATTAGGGGTTGAAAACAATCCTCTCCTTGGAAAGTTAGGACAAATGCGGTGAAAGTAATGAAACAACGATCTGCTTTAGATATATAGCCGAATAGTAAACACATCTGAACATCTGCTAGAATTTGGGTAAAGCCCATATTACACGCAAAAGTGTGTGCATGTAAAATTTAAGGGTAATGTACGAAATTACGCGGCATTCTGTGCTTAATAGCAAACGAAAGTTTATACATGAGGAAACTACTACATAAATTGGATTTTTTTTTACATCCTATTTCCATTTTTTCTTTCTGACCGGCGGTTCGTTTGTCTTTTCATAAATGCACGTCCTTCGCTGCATGATAGATAGCGAACGAATTTGTGAAAGAGGCCACGCCATGTACAAAGAGGAGGAGAGATTCCCAAAAAAAATGATTGGCCATAGCAGTCGAGTTTTAGGAGAAAGGAGCTTCTATGACGTTGAAGCGAAGAAGAGGGAGATAAGTAAGGTTAGGCTCTCACGCAAGATTCCCTGCAGTCAGAATTGCTGAGCATATTCTTATTTAATCTATCTTTGATGTAAAGCGCACTGCTACAAGGTGAAATTCCTTTGAGGGGTACAATATTGCCTAGCAATAGTCACCGCTCGCGATTGTGGAGATGTGGTACGCTGAAACATCAGTCAAATGAGGGCAAGGCTATGCAGTGCCTGTCCTTCACTAAAATCAATGAATTTTCTTAACATTTGGAAAATAACTTCAAATTCTGGTAAATACA